ATAATAACTGTCGCACAGGTTTTTTGAAAAATAAAAGGGTTCTTTATAGATTTTGTGTTTTTTTTTTTTGTGTTTGGGAGATAAGTATGGTGTATTTTTTCTTAGATTTTGTATAAAAAAAAGAAAAAAAACCTGTATAGGGTTGGTCGAATGAATGCCCTCCTAGTCACCAGTTTCGAGTCTTTTCGATTGCTGAGTACGAGGCCTTATGGTGGACAAAAGACGGAGTATAAAGACCCAAATGGAGGAAATTAGCCTATGGTTACAGAAGATATGTAATAAAGTAACCGACGAAGACTTGCGCTTTTCTCCCAAACCCCCTGGTAAACCCAAATGAAGGTTAAATTTAAAGACTATACATTAACTACTTTTTTTACTTGCACTTTTCTCTCAAAGTGTTTACCGCCGGTAAACCCAAATGAAGGTTGAAATTTAAAAACAAATTAACAAAATTTAAGTAAAATCTGTGGATAATTTATTTTTCAAAAAAAAAACTGCAACAGATATTATTTTACACCCTGTATATGATAAAATATTAATAGCTGGAAAAAAGGAGTACAAAAGAAGTACAAAGCGAATAAAGGAGTACATTTCCAGATATATTTTTTTTTTGAGTACAAGCGAGTACATAGCAATAAAAAGGAGGACGTTTACTCCCAAAAGCAGTACGTCTGGCAACCCTACCTGGAATCCAGATAATATAAATTCGATTAGTCAAGCCAAGGGATTTCAGCTTACTTAGGCACCCCATCTCCAATTTTGATGTTACCTGATGGGATCTGAGGCCCTTAATTGCCGCTTGGCTGTCCGCCAAGGTTGGAATGTTCTGGTTCCGGTTGCGCTTGATATGTAACTTGGGACATCTTTAAATTGAGATTTCTACACAAATGTACTTCCTATACGATCTAACGATTAATACAAATTTCAACTTTTAATATTTTTCATCTATGTACTGATCTTTAATTTATGTATGTGCATTATTTGTGATCGTTTCTAAATAGAGGCCCAAAAATCGCAATGCTTTTTCTTACTTATTGAACATTAATGAAAACTATTCGATTATGGAATGCGCAATGTCCTCTGAAGAAACCCCATGTTTTTTGTTTTTGACTAACAGAGATTTCTTGACATCGCTTGTTCTTTATTTACATCGGCAAAGTTATATTACTATCTTGTCAAAATTTATCACAAATTAAAAAAAAATATTTACAACAATTGCTTCCAAAATTTACATATTTTCTGCTACAATACAACCCTGTATAACCTTAAACTATATATTGTTCTAAAACTCCCACCGTTTGATTAAATCACCACATCAGCCTCTCTGCCCTCTGGTTCGTCGTTCAGCGGCTCCACCCGCAGTCTGATCACATTCTGCGGCTTCGTCATCAGCCGCGTGCGGTCTACACTAAAATGATACCGCGTAATCAGCTGTGCCAAGAGTAGTCGCATCAGCAGCTGAGCGAATTGCAGACCAATGCAGCTGCGTGGTCCTTCACCGAAACCAAGCCACATGCAGAGGTCACGTCGCTTATTGTCGGAGCGGCCGAATCGTTCAGGCTTGAACATAAACGGCTCCGGATAATATTCGGCATCGTTGTGTATGGCATGCGTGGGCACGATGATGAACATATTTTTGGGTAGCGCATACTTGTCGTTGTTTGGCACCGGGAAATCGGTGAGCGTGCGCCGTATCAGGTAAGGCACCACCGGATGTAGGCGTATGGTCTCTGAAAAATAAAACAATTTTATTAAATTTCCGTTATGCCTCAGCGCAAATAAGCGACATACCTGATATGACTTGACCCATAAACTTAAGTTCGCGTACACAATCGTAATTGAGCTCATTGTTGTGCCGTTGCAGCGCTTCCGCCACCTCATCACGCAGTTGTTGTTGTATTGGATCGTTCAATGCCAATTCATATAGCACATATGTGAGTGTGTGTGTGGTCGGACGTAGTCCTGCCTTGAGGAAGGAAATAGCATGCGAGGCTAACTCTCCCATTAAGTGCTCCTTCAGCTCCTTCATGGTCTGATCCTCAACCTCGTGTGTACTCAGCTCCTGTTGCATTAAGTTCACCAAAAGCTGTAGGTAGTCATGTTTCTCAGTAGCGCTCTGCTCACGCTCGCTCACCACCTCAGTGATTAGGCCAATGAAATAGTTTTCCACTTCCCTGCAAGTGGTACGCAACTTAAGCCTCTTACCCAGCCTGGGATATCGCCGCAAGAAAGCATTAGCAAATTCACTGTGACGTGATGTTGTATTCTCTAGATGAGTCATATCATCGAAAACGTTCAGCGGATACTTTTGCTGCCGTTGTGCGTTCAAATCGAAAACACAAACCGCCAAGCTGGTTAACACAAAACGGCGCATTTGTGTGCGTATCTCTATGTAACCGCTATGCGCGCGCTCTTCTCTCACCAGCTGATCGAAGCTCTCCAGCCATTCCGCGCACGTTTCCCGCAGCCCGTCGTACAGGTGGCGCATTTCATCTTTGGCAAAAATCGGCTCCAGTCGCAGTCGCATCTCTTTCCACTCGCTACCACGTCTGCTATACAAGTCGGCAGAGAGCGGATCGTGTTTGCTGTTGTGATAGATGCCGCGATCATTGAAATTCGAGAAGTTCTTGATCAGTATCTGCATAATCAACTCGCGATCGAGTATGAGAGCGCGCGGCTGCATGAGCCGATAGAAACCGCAAAAGGGACCCTGACCTTTGAAATTGCGGTACAGCTGATCGTAGTGCTCCAGTTCCTGCCATTCCAGTGTTGTGCGCAGGCCAAATAGATGCTGTAGAATTTCAAACTCCGGCGCAGGAGGTTCGAATGGCACATGGTGCATACGCCAGTAGTTACGCTTGTAGAAGATGTAAATAAGCGGCGTGATGACGAAGATTATGAGGACGGTAATCACAATGGCCACAATTAGCCATACCCACCACATTTTAAAATATTTCTTGCCAACCTTTGTGGAATTTCGAATGACTTAATGTCCGTTCAAGGGCACGCACTCATAAAAAAAAACACCAAAATAATTTAGTTAAAGTACTTTCTGTTATCTCGTATTTATGTACTCATGTGAGTGCGCGCACACCGCACCACCGCCGCTCTACACTTTTTGCGCTTATTAAAATCGTGCGGTGAACTTCACTTTCAATAAGTTTTTAGCGCTGCCACTCGGCGCGCGTTTCAACTGCTTACTAAGCGTTTCCTATACCCAAGTATTTTACTCGTACTCCACTGTGCGCTCACGCTTTTCCAGCGGAGTCAATTGTAGAGCTTTTTTTTCGTTTAGCGGACGCCTTACGTACTCGTTTTATAACTTTTTTTATCAGCGTAATTACAGGTGAGCATTTTTAAATAAGCTCATATTTTTTAATTGTTGTATTAGGGTACGACGAGAATTCGGTGCGGTTGAAATGTGGCTGTGTGCGCTGTGTGGTAGTTTATTGCACTTACACAACGAATTCAGTTGAAGAGCGGCACGTCGGAAAAAGACTGTAACTCCCAAAAGTGCTGGAGAATAAATTTGAACAGCATTTTGTTTTCGTAGCATTTCAAACAACAATGCGAAACTCAGCTAACCAAAAATGCATTGACTTCAACTAGCTGAGCGTTAACATATCGACAGTGACTAATTCAGGCGTTTGCCTTCGTAAATATTTACTTTTGTCAGCTATGAAGTGCCGCTTCTATTCTGAAAGTATCGAAAAAGTACAATGCATTTTCGCTTAGCCACTATTCCTAGTGAGGCGATATTATTAGTAGCTACCGGTAATTGTCTAACTTAAAAAGGCGAAAAGCTCAGCAAGATCGATATAAACTGCTGCAACCAACACATGCTCAACAATAGACGATTTTTAAAGCTTGCTATAGACTGACGTTGTGGCTGAGTGGTTAGAGGTGCTTACTACCACTCCGTTGGCCCTGAGTTCGATTCCTGGTCAAAGCTGGATCTAAATGAGAAAAGGTTTTCCTAACAGTGGCCGTTACCCGGCAGGCAACGGAAAACCACTAAGTGTTTGTATTTCTACCGTGAAAAAGCTTCTCGTAATACCCATTTGAGGTTCGGAGGCAGCGGAAACCTGCAGGTTCCTTCATGTTTCTAAAATCTTCAAGACGCACATCACAAATTGGAGGACAAGCTCTGCTAATTACTTAGAACAAGTGTAAGCGTAAAAAATATTATTTTTAATATTATAGGTTTTATATGGACGCGCACAGAGTAAAAGCGCACTCTGATCGGCACTGATATAAAATCTATGGAAAGCTTAAAAAAGCTCTGCTCATGGGGTTCGACAACGGTTTCTGTATATGTGCGCGCTTAGAGTACTTTCACTGGTGTAAATCGGTGATGTACATTGTCTTTCTCGCATACAAAGCTTTTCTTTTAGCTTTCTATAATCTTTATCTAGAACAGTCACGACCAAAAACTATTCCGCGTTAGAAGCTTTATAAAGGTTTCTATAGCTTTTACTTATATGAACGCGCAAGTAGCAAAATCTCACTGTGATCACCATTGACCTAGAATCGGAATGTAATCCCGAAAGGCAGTGCTTAAACGCAATTTATATTTATAGAAAAGTTTTCATAAACTATAACAATTAATTTGTTCTTACTTTTTAAGTTTGCAGTTATATTTTTGATTCATATCTTTTCAATTAAACAATTTTATTAAGCCTGAGGCAGTTTTTGGTGAAAAATGTTGAGGAAAAACAACAATAATTTATAAATGGTCGAAATTATAGCTGCAATTTGGGAGATCGTCACATCTCCTCATTAGACTTCTTCACCGTGTTCACTGGGACTTGAACCAGCAACTCCAGCGTTCAAAGCCTGCCTTGTTATAGCCCAGTTATGCATACTTGCATTGCTATACCATTTTTACGTAAAAATCAAAACCAAAGAGAATTCTACATGTTAAGTGCTATGCGTTGGGTGACCGCTTACACCCAAAGCCCATTTAACAGATTCGCTCATGCAACGCTAAGTATGCATAACTGGGCCATGTAAATTGTTATTGCTTTTTCCATTTTTCATTCTTTCAATCCAACTACAATCAGCTATTCAGACTTGCCTTTTTAAAGGTTTTATTAAGCCATATTGTTATTCCCTAAATTTACTGTTCTTTATTACTGAAAGTTCCATCTCTGCCGATTTCCACGCACGTGCAACGTTAAAATATTTTTAAAAAGCATATCTCTCACCTTATCAAAGACGAGAGCGATAAGCCTGAAAATTGTGAATTTAAAGATAATACCGAAAGTAAAAATTGCGCATAGTTTTTATAACGAAAAGAATTTGTTTGTTTCGACAGGTATTTTTGAATGGTTTTAGAGCTTTTTAAAAAAGCTCAGATTATACATGTTTAGAGAATTTTTCAATTACATTTACTATGGCTTATCTGGTAAGGGGGAAATATCTCTTATTGTGCTGCCATAATATCTTGGATAATGCTAGGTTTTCACGAGTACCATAATAAGAGGCAATGCTTTGTTTTTAATTCACAAATTTATATTTCCCTTAAAAAAAGTGTTCTGAACTAGAATTTACGACAGAATTTCCAACATTCGTGAAGTGAGAACCCGCTATAAGGGTGTTTTTTTAAGAGAAAATCTTCCATTAATTTTTTAGCAATTGTTTCGCTTGCCATCACTTTGATTTCCGCAAATTTTATTCAACACCAGACATTATTATTTATTATTTATATTACATACATATGTACATACTATTAGGTACGTGATAGCGTATAAATATATAAAATATGATAAATAATAATAATGTACCGGGGCTTGGCATTATTTGTGTTAACTTTTTAATGCAATCAATAACGCCAGTCAACTTATCAGTCGACACATAGTTTTTTTTTCGCTGATTGCTGATCGCTCATAAAATACGAAAGCTGGTGTGGCTTTGGTGGGCATTCGTATTAAAACAGAGAGTAAAATAAAGAAAAAAAAAACAAAAAGCCCGTTTTCATGCGTATGTAATGTTGACATATTTTGTATTTTGATTTGTATGTCTGTATGTATTTACGTAAGTGTGAATGAGAGCGTCATTGCAAAATTTAATGAAGCGGAACAATGAATTGAACTTAAATGGAATGCTTTTAATCGTCTTGTTAAAGCGATGGGGGTATTCATAGAGCAGCGCAAAACAAGCGAGAGCGAGTAACTGAAATTCTAAGTTTTGTGGAGAGTAAAATAGTTATACAAATTTCATTATTAATTTTTAATATTTTCTATTCTATTGGTTTAATTTCGTTTCTTGTGTCTTCATTTAATTTCATTTCATTTCATGGCATTCCATTCCATTACATTTCTTTTCACTTCTATTTCGTTTCATGTCATCTCATCTCATCTCTTCGTCGTTCTATTTTACTTCGTTTCATTTCATTTCACTTCCTATGACTTCATTTCCCTTTATTTCATTTAACTTCATTTCGCGTCACTTCATGAACACACCCATCCACAATGACTATGCGTGCTATCTCATCGATAAATTCTTTTGTAAACATACTTGGCACTGTTCAAGGCTCTTATCTGAAGAAATATATATGTATGTACATATAATTGCATGCATGCCAACAACTCGGCTTAACATTTAACTGTGCATTTATGATTGTAAATCAAGTTTCAAGTTTTTGTGGTCAGTAACAAAATAGGCACACAACCTTGCAGCGCTCTCAGCGTTTTGCAGTAAGCGCAGCACGCGATTCCCAAGAAATTCCCATTGTGCGGCTTCGATTACACTAAGCTCTCTTATTTAGTCATTGTTATTAGTACATTTGCACTTGCATCGCCTTGCCGAAGATCAGTTGTTCAAGAGCCGGTAAACTATAAAAATGTCTGTGTTTGCAGTTCTTTTAGCCGCGCTATTGGCGCTACTCTCGTTTCTGTTCTACTTGCTGCGACGCCGCATGAACTATTGGCGCTACCAAGGCATACCGCACGATCGACCACACTTTTTCGCTGGCAATCTGAAGGGTTTGCTGAAGACGCGCAACTTTGCCGAAATTTTACTGGAATTATACACGCGTCATAAGGGAACGGGTCCCTTCTGCGGTTACTACCTGTTTCAACGTCCCGCCGTGCTGGTGCTGGACCGAGCGCTCGTGAAGAGTATACTCATCAAGGATTTTAATAATTTTGCCGATCGTGGCCTTTTTCACAACGAAAAGGATGATCCACTCACTGGCCATCTATTTCGCTTGGATGGAAATCAGTGGCGTGGGTTGCGTAGTAAACTTACGCCCACTTTCACTTCCGGCAAGATGAAATTCATGTTTCCCACCGTATTGAAAGTGGGCGATCAGCTGATGGCTGCGGTGGCGAAACGTTTCGCTGAGGATGAGCATGTGTGGGACTGGAAGGAGATGATGGCGTGCTTTACCACTGACGTGATTGGCAACTGTGCCTTCGGCATTGAGTGTAACAGTCTGCAGGATCCCCATGCTGAATTTCGTGTTATGGGCCGCAAGATAATTGGGGCGCGTCGTCATGGCGCGCTTGTCAACGCTTTCATCAACAGCTTTCCGAATGTGGCGCGTCGCCTGCGCATGGCCATCATGCCACAGGATATAACCGATTTCTTTCTGCGCATCGTGCGCGAAAATGTTGAGTTTCGTGAGCGAAATCGTGTGCATGCCAATGACTTTATGAGCATTCTTATGGATTTGAATAAGGGCAAGCATTTGAAAAGCGAAAGTGATGTAGCATGCGCACTAAGCGTGAGCGAGATGACAGCACAGGTGTTTGTGTTCTTTGTGGCTGGCTTCGAGACTTCAGCGACAACTTTAGCATTCGCGCTGTACGAGCTGGCGCTGCATCCGGACATACAGACGCAGCTGCGTACGGAGATCGAAGAGACCATTCGAAAACATAATAACGAGTTCACCTACGAGTGCGTGGAGGATATGCAATACATGAAGCAAGTACTAGCGGGTGAGTAAAGTGAGCGTTGATTAAAAATGTGATGTGCGACATTCTATTTTTTCTGCCGCAACAGAAACACAGCGGAAATATCCGATCGCGCCGAATTTAATGCGTCAAGCAGCCAAGGACTATGTGGTGGCAGGCCATCCGAAATATGTTATCAAGAAAAGCATGATGGTCACCATACCGACGATTGGCATACACTACGACCCTGACATATATCCGGATCCAGATAAATTCGATCCATCGCGTTTTGCGCCCGATGCGGTGAAGCTGCGCGACAGCGTCGACTGGTTGCCCTTCGGCGACGGTCCGCGTAATTGCATCGGCATGCGCTTCGGACAGATGCAGATGCGCGTCGGTCTGACCTACCTGCTGCGCCAGCTTAAGTTCTCTCCCTGTGAGAGGACACCAATCCCAATTGTTTACCAGAAATCTTTTCCACTATTTCCACAAGGCGGCATATTTTTGAGAGTGGAAAAGGTTTGACGTACCGTACTGATACATACATAGAAAGATATACACACTCATACATATGTACTTATTTGAAAGGGGTTTTCAGCCGGAATATACACAAAAGTATGTGCATGAGGATGGTCCAAAAATGCACGTGAAAAAAGTAAATTTCGAATTTCGAATTTTAATTCTCATCCCTCTATATCGAAAAGATATACCCCTGCTTTTTAATTAAAAAAAAAAACAAGTTTTCGTAGAAATGGTACAGAATTCTTGAAAATAAATATTTTTTCATCGGAAAACTCTGCTTCTCTTTAGGAGACTTCAATTAATCAAACCCAGTCGTTTATTTTACCCTTTTTTAATACTAGCGA